AACAGGTTCTCCTCTGCCATGTCTGTGCTGCCAAAGTGCATCAACTGGAAGGGCCATAAGGAAACCACAGTTTGAGTGTCCTCTTGCCAACGTGGGCTCTTTTGTCCATGGGCTAATGTTGTGGTCAGAAGTGCAGCCATGCCTGCCTGTGCACACACGTGCTGGGTGTCTGAAGACAGAAGTACAAATCCTGGCATTGACAGATATTTTTAAAGTTTTTAATATCCTTATTTCTAAATGGCTTTAGGTGCCTGGTGCCAGGGAACACTGAGCTCTTCTGTAGTTGCATTGCATTCTGTTGCCACCCAAGAGGGAGAAAGCTCTCTGGAGCTTGGAAGGAGGCAAGTGAAGATGTTGTCTTGAGTTTCTGCTTGCACACACTCCTGTCCCACCAACGCCCTTGTCTCCAGAAAGGATAAAGTGAACGGAGCTGGGAAATAATAAAGTGGAGTGAAGGGCACCCGTGGATCCCATGACAAGGGTTGGTTAAATAATAAAGAAAGTATTTGCTAATAAAAGATAATTTTTTCCATGCTATTTCCAGGGCTAATAAGCAGAGAAAGTGGAGAGAATCGATTCTGCTGTTGCATGCTTGGGTATGATCAGGCCACTAAATTCAAAACACATGAGTTTTCAAGAAGTCCACAACTTCAGCCTTTTAAAATGGGTTCCTTTTTCCCGATTTTTGCTTGTGATCAGATAATGACCTTCGTAAGCAAAACAGCCCCAGCTGTATTTCATAATGGGAATATACTTTTGTACATAGTAATGAGCTGTTAACAGGCAACAGGATCGTGTGAAAGTCTGCACGTTTCCCATGATGCTGCCTGGATTTAAAAGCCACTCATAAATTATGCACCATTGCAGATTTCAAAGTCACAATTGGCCATCCGATCTAGTTTTTTCTCCCCCCAAAAAACAGTGTTTCCAGTGGGCTGGAATTTAAAATAGAAAAACCTGATCTGTTGGGAATCTTGGGAACTGTGTGGGAAATCCAGCAGCAGCATCTGTGCTGGGTACCCGAAAGGGTGTGGTGGGAGTGGGTGGCTTGCATGATATGAGGGGAAGTAACACCTTTGCTCCCCCAAAATTCTTTCTTACCAAAGAAAGGCATCCGAAGTTTTGTAGACAGTCCTGAACTGGTGGGTTTGGTTGAGTTTTGAAGGGTTTCTAGCAGAGCCAGGGGCTGGTTTTTGCTGCTGGGTCCAACTTCCAGGTTTCCCTTCATGATGCCAAGAAGTACCTGGACACATGGCTGGGGATCCAGAGGAGTTTCTGCACTAAGGCACTTTTGTTTTATTTTTTTTGCTAGATGTGAATACTTGATTATTAAGCATGTATTACAATCCTGAATATTATTTTAGCTGCAAGTTCAGTCTCTATCCTCTCCAGCTTTTTAGGTTTGATCATCTTCCAGAGGCTTACTAAAAACATGCAAAGAATTTCAGCAAAACTCTGTGGAACACTTTTATTAAATTCTTTCAGTCATGCAAGCTAAATTAAATGACAGCTCTGTCCACCAAAAGATCACAAATATCAATCAGACTTCTCCCCTAAACTCATGAAGGAATAAAATGTTTTTCTACAAGTCTTCTCTCCCCCTTAATAATCTGCCTGTTCTCTTGATGTATGTTGGAAGTATGTTGAAAGTGATGATTTCTGCCCTAAAGGAGCACAGTGCTTGTAGCTCACTGCTGATATTTTATCTCCACGTGGGCATATTTTTGGGTATTGCTCAAATAGATGTTTGCAATACTGTGGGCAGAGTTTCCAAAAGGAGAACACAGCTATTAAGCTACAGCCCAAGGAACACGATGCTGATTTCTTTCCTGAGACAGGAGATTAATGATAAAATGTACCTTGCAGCTCTCACTGTTTATGTTCAAATTGGAAAAACAAGACCAGGTGGCTCAGTGGGCTGGTGGGACGGTGAGCTCTGAGTAAAGTGGTTGTAAAAATGAGGAGTTATAAAGATTTCAACATACAGTGGCCTGTCCAAATCCAGCTGAGTCATTACCCTACGTTGCTGCATCTGTTTTTGTCTGGTCACTGCACGGTTATGAATAATTGTGTAAGTCATCCTGGGATGCCCTGGGGAGCTTTCCTTGCAGAAAGACTCAGTGCACTATTCCCATCTGGCTTGGTTTTTAAGCTGTAGGGAGGCCATGGGACAAGGCAAGCAACAACCAGGTGGATGGAAACCAGCTGGGGCATCCCTCGTGCCACTGACCCAGCAGCTGCCCACCCTGCCCCTCTGGAGGGGCACACTTGGAAAGGGATAAGACTGGAAATAAAACTGATGCACATCTGAGCCAGTGGAGCTTGTACTCAGGAGCAAAGGCCCACGTGTTTCCTGCCATGGTGGTCTTTTACAGCTGAAACAATTTGATGATTCTCTGGTGGTTGTGCAGGTGGGATGTGAAGGCCCTGGAGACAGCTTGGGGGTCTGTGCCTGCACACAGGCTCCCACAATGAGTGCTCTAGTTAGTGCTGGGTACATTAGGGTGTATTTTTGCCATTATGGTTTAGCAAAGAAGAGTAGCTATGACTGTAAACTCTTGGAGCTGGATGAATTGTGATGAAGTTAAAGCTGACTGTTACATACCAGCTTTAGCAATTGCTAGACTATGTATTTTCCTGCCCCTTACCATAGGCTTCAAACCATAGGACATGAATAAACTGTAATGTTAGGGTGCAGTCAGCTCTGTTTGCTATTTAAGGACAGGGAATTTATGTTCAGTTCATCCAATGCAGCTTCATAAAGCGTGCAGACCATTGTGGGTGTTGTGTGATGGTTGGCAAGTGGGACTGTGGCCACTGCTCCAGCCAAAGCTGAGGCATCTCACAGCACTCCCAGGTCTGGATGCACCAACAGGGAGGGGTGGGATTTCCACCCCACGCCAGGTCTCCTGCTAATGGTGCCAGCAGGTTTTGTTTCACCAGCTTCATTTCTCCCAGAGCCAGCTGCAAAATTTGACTCATAGAACATCCTCGTGGTATTCAGCACCTGGGGAGCACGTGGCCAAGGGTAGAGCTTTTGTCCTGGAAAAGGAAGGGGCAGCAAGGCTCAGGGGGGTCACGTTTGCTCCATCTAAAGTTGGGATCCATATGATATTTCTCAGGAAGTTCCTGTTTTGTGGTGGCTACACAGGTGGAGAAATGAAGCTGCTCATTTGTGGCATGCCAAGGAAAATTAGTCACACCAGGCATGCTCAGTAATTTTAAAGTTTGAAAGCACAAAATTTGAAAATCCTGATTTCTCCCTCACCCCTCCTTGAACTTGTTAAATCTGAAAATATCCCAAAATATATACCTTGAGCTGAGACAATGTGTGCTGGGCTGTCAGCTCTGGGCTGTGTGTGGAGGAGAGAAATACAAGGGATGACATAAAGACTTGGAGTGGTCAGTGTCTGGTTCCTGTGCAAGGTCCTCCCTGTGCAACCCCCAGTGCTGCATTTGCCTTTTTTTGTCGTTGCTTTTGTTGTTGGCTTGTGGTTCCACAGCCTTCTGGGGAAGGGCTGCCAATGCCTACACCAAACAGTGTTCCTGAAGAGAGAACATAACTGGTCTGAGCCAGAGCCTGTTGAAGGCCCTGAAAAGGCAGCCCCAGAGTTTCAGGGAGATGAGCTGTGCTTTGCTTCCTCCCTGGGTGTGGGACAGGGCTGGCAGGCTGGGCAGGATTTGCCAAGGAGAGGTTTGTCTCCTTGCTTCTCCCCATCAGCCACAGGCAGGGAACCCGAAGGGGTCTCATGTTGAGCCATTTGTTTTTCATTACATTCTGCTCCTCTAATATAAATACTAAGGTATGTGGACACTGCCGTGGACAGAGCCAGCCAGATGCTGGGAGCATTCCTCCAAGGCTGGATAAACTTCAGTGGCTTAAATATTTCAGAAACTGTTTTCTAAGGCTAGCTTAATAGTTTAAAAATATAACCTAGATTCCAGATATTAAAAAATGCCTTGAAAGGCACGCATGTTGCTGCAGTAGATGGAACTAACCAACCCCCTGAAGTATGTGGAAAGCTCCAACTTTGAAATATTTTCTCTCTTACTTATCCTTTTCATTCTTTATGTGTTTTGTTGTGTGTGGTTTTTTTTTTAGTGCTGAGATTCATTTCAAGAAGGCTTTTAACAGCAGAGTGGTTGTGATAGAAATTTTCAGCATATATTCATGGGCTGACTCATGCTTTTTCCAAGTGGGTCTGGGTTTCTGGTGAAAGAGCTGGCTGCTTTCAGCAAGGGCAAAATCAGAGAAGGCAGTGGGAAGAGGAAGCTGAGAGTTTAAGATGTGCTTAATCCCTCAGTGTGCTACTAAGGGGCAGGGTGGGGAGCTCCTCCCCATGTCTGGAGAGCAGTCCTGAGAGCTCAGCTGAGTTATTCCAGTTGCTGTCTCAGGGATGTGCAACCTGTCACCATTAGGTGAGACCCAGCTTTAAAACATCCTTTCAAAGATCCTTTTGGTGTGTTTCTTGGCTGTTCCCAAAGCACCAACTGCCACCCTCTGCAATCCAAGCATGAGGAAAGAGATTTGGGAGTTATGTCTGTGGGGTGGCACCCGAGGCATCTGCCATTTCCTTTTTACTACTCCTCAGATGGGAGACAGTCCCTGAAAGCAGTGAGAAACCCTGAGCAAGGTTTCCTCTTGCTGCTGGTATATGCCTCATCTGTCATAACTTGGGACACGTGTTTTGTAGCCGACTCCAGACGTTGGTGACACTGGAATCTCTGTAGATGGTCCCCAGCTCATGCAATGCCCAGAGGGCAGAGTTAACCAATGTGGTTTTTTTTCCACCTCCCTTTCTTTCTTCCATTGAGGTTTTGTGTGTGCAGCTTTGCCCACAAGTGAACCTGAACTTTGGCACGAGGATCAGGATGGGCTCCTGTCCCGCTGTCCTGGCCCCACCGAGCCCTGTCCCCCTCCTGCCACCCGACCTCCCTGTGAGCATGGATGAAGTAGGGAGGGATGCTGTTGACTGACTGTGGCACCTCATGTCTTTCAGCTGCTCAAAGGGATGGCTTTGCCCCGCCGAAAAGCTCCAGGCAAAGCCCCAGAGGAAGAGGAGGGGAGCGGGGACTGCGACGATGAAGATGATTGTGGCAGAGGCTCTGGGGATGGGGAGCTGCGCGTCAGGAACCAGCTCCGCTTCTTGGCAGGTGATGAGGATGATGGGACTGTCCCTCTGTGGAGGTCGTAGGTCTTGGTGGTGGTGTGGGGCACCCCCAGTGTTCAGAGGCTGCTGGTGCTCAGCCCACTGCCAGCAGGCCTTGGTGCCAGCAGCTGGAGCAGCTGGAGCAGTGATGCTGCTGCTTTCCCAGGTCAGTTTTGCAGGGGTGTGTGGAGGGCAACTGGTGGGAGGGGATTTGAGACAGGTTGCAAACCTGCTGCAGGTCACAGAATCACTCTCTTCTCTCCTTCCCACCACTGCCCACTCTCATGAGCTACAAGATGAGCTTTTCTGCTTTCTAGAGGACATCAGAAAGTCAGTAAGGATGGTTTGGCTGCAGCAAATACTGGTCCTTCCTGGTCTAGGGTTTAGAGACCCATGGTAGATTTTTTTTTTCAGCAGTGATGTAGGTGCTCAGGAGCCTAAAATTGCACTGCTTGCTGGTAGGAGTCATGTCTTTGGTTGCTTTGAAAACAGCCCTGGGGCACTCCTAGTGCTTCCAGGCTCTGGTAGGAGTCCCTGGTCACCCATCAGAAGGGGAAAGCAAAGGGCTGGTTGTGACTTGGGCTGCTGCAAATGCCATCAATGTGTGCCTTCCCCCTGTGACCCACTGGTTTTCCCACTCCTGGCTCTGTGGAGTTCAGCAGCATCATCTGTTTTGCTGCATGAGTGAGACCAGGCTGTTGAAGGGGGTGTCCATCGTGGAGGAGCTGGGCAGGGTCTGCAGGCTGGAGCCTTGGCCCAATTAATGCTGGTTCCAGTGCTATGAGCTGCTCTTTGAGAGACCAGACAACTGAACCTGGATAAAATCAGCTTTACAGCTTTGAAGTTTAAGAGGCAAATTTGGGCCCTTAAACAAAGCACAGATGTTTATAAATTCCCTTGCATTGGTCTGGGATAATTAAAATTTCCTTAATGAAGTGAGAGTGAAATATTAAACACCGGTTTCATATCAAAGATTATTGACACATTATGTAAAATTTATAAAATACATATATTCAGATATTGGCTAAGGGCTTTTTTAAGTCCCTTAAGGTCTGAAAGAGAAATAGAGAATTCAGAGAGGGAGAAAATGTCCTTTCTTTCATCCAAGAACTAAATATCAAAACGTACATTAAGGAAATGCAGGTGATCCTCATGGTCCTGAGCAGAGATACGTGTTTCATTTTCTGTGATCTTTGTGTCACACCCTTAGGCTTTTTTTTTACATGTTTCTAATTTCCTCTTGTAGCCTTCCCTATAATATCATCAATGATCTCTGAAGCCAGGTATATAATCCTTTCTGCCTTTTTCTGTCTCTCTAGGCTAGTTTAATCACTGTATTGATCTCCCCAACAACCTGCCTGTCTAGCAGTTTAGTCCTCTCTTGTCACCACAGTGTGTGAACATGGAGCAGGAAAGAGGATTGTCCTCCCTGTGCTGCTCTGCTGGAGGGTGTTGGCTGCTGCCTTTGCCACAGGATGGGTAAATATTAACTTCCAAGCAGCAGTGGCTTCGGGGCATGGTGTTCCTGGCAGGTTAAGTCTTTCAGGTTGCTGAGAACGTGAGGTTTGTCCAACACAGCTTTTGGGCACAGCCTGACCTTGGAGGACACCAGCTGTGCTTTCTTGGTGGCCAAGTTTCTGGTTCTTCCTCACTTGCCCATGCCATAATGCTTTTTTTTTCTCTCTCTCTCTCTCT